GAGACAGAGTCTCACTCTGTCACTCAGGCCGGAGTGCAGTGGCATGAACTCAGCTCACTGCAACCTCACCTCCACCTCCTGGGCTCAAGTTTTACTCCTGCCTCAGCCTCCCAAGAAGCTGGAATTACAGGTGCCTGCTACCATGCCTGGCTCTTTTTGTGTTTTTAGTAGAGACAGCGTTTCACCATGTTGGCCAAGCTAGACTCGAACTCCTGACCTCAGGTTATCCACCTGCCTTGCCCTCCCAAAGTGTGGGATTACAGGCATGAGCCACCGCACCTGGCCAGTCAGGCATGCTACTTTTATTTGTAAAATTTTTAAAAACTTTACATTGTGAAACTCTGCCAAGCGTAATGGCTTGCACCTGTAATCCCAGTGCTTTTGGGAGGCTGAGGCCAGAAGATCACTTGAGGCCAAGAGTTCAAGACCAGGCTGGACAACATAGCAAGATCCCATCTCTACGAAGAAAAAATTGTGAAGCTCTACTGATCATATAACGGACACAACGACAACTGGAAGTGCAACTCTGAAATTTAACTTTTGTCAAGAGTTCATCAGGCCTTCAAGAAAAGTTTTCTGTTCTCTCAACCCTCTGGAGAACAGCAACAGGGGAAGAAAAATACAATTAAAACCTGAACCGAATTAATCTAACCTGCCACTTTTCACCACTATTTAAACTTTTTGTCTTTCCAGGCGCGGTGGCTCACGCCTAGCACTTTGGGAGGCCAAGGCGGGTGAATCGCTTGAGCTCAGGAGTTCCAGACCAGCCTGGGCAGCGAAGTGAGACCCAGTCTCTACAAAAATTAGCTGGGGACGATGGCTCACCCCTGTACTCCCAGCTACCTGTGGGGCTGAGGTAGGAGGAACGCTGGAGCCCAGGAGGCAGAGGTTGCAGTGAGCTGAGATGGCGCCACTGCACTCCATCCTGGGTGAGACCCTGTCTTAAAAAAAAAAACTTTTTGTCTTGATACCCCAGCATCAAAAAGGGGTTGGCGGGTGGGGAGGGAGACTATTGGAGGAAGAAAACGAAAAAAAAGCATTAGGAAGAAGACCCACAACTTATTCAACTGCAAATCTATCTAAAAATACAATAAAATACTAGGAATTGGTGATATTCCTGAAGTGAAACCTGTCACTTTCCTCCTTCCTTGAATCTCCACGTTGCTTACGAAAATCAGACAGGACTCGGGCTTCTCAATCTTAGTTATCTATTTGAACAACATATGCACAAGGGCATGCATCCAACTGCGGTCTGAATTAAACTTTTCCACTTTTCTTTCTTTGGTTTTAACATAGTTCTGGGATTGTTATTCGGTCATTTCTCATAATTATCTAAGAAAAATTCACTCTGAGAAAGTAAGCATTCGGTAGTTCCTAGGCTAATGGCCACAAATGTTGAAAATGTTGGCTCTAAGGGAAAACAAATTGAAGCGTTTTCGGGGGGGCTCGAACAAGTTATGAGCTTAGCGTAGGCCCAAGTTTTAAGCTAAAGAAACATCTCCCTGTATGTGCCAACTTAAATACCTGTCCCCGTAATAAACCCGGAGACCGGCATGATTTTAAACACTTCTACACCTCTCCGTCCTATTTTTCCATGTTCTATGTTCGAAGGAAAACGGCCACCCAAGAAACTCACGGAGCTAGCCACCTCTAAGCACAGCAAGGGCGCAACACTTTTTAAGTCCCCCCCAACCCCGCACAGGCCACAGGTGGCGCCACCCCCCTGCCCCCCGCACCGCCGCCCGCTGCCCCGCGCCCCCGGCTTCTCTCCAGCTGCGTACACTTGGAACAGTCCTTCCCAGGTCCCTCCGACGCAGACCCATCGCCCCCGTGCCCCGGCTGCCCCGGCGCGGGGAACCCAGGCTGCCGGGCCTCCTCGCGCCGGCCCGCGCTGCCGCCACGCCCCCTCCCCACAGGCCGCCAGGGCCGCCCGCCCCCTCGGCCGGGAGGTGGCCTCACCTCGCACGGGCCGTAGCGGGGAGGGCGCCCGCGTCTCCGCCTGCAGCCCGGGCCCACGGCCGCTCGGCTGCCGCTCGGCCCCGACGGCCGGCGGCGGCGCGCTGCTGGGGGCGGGCTCTTCTCGGGCAGGGGCTTCCCCGGGCTCTAGGGCTGGGAAGCAGAGGGGACCGGGGCGGGGGAGGGGAAAGGGACTTGGGAAGGAGGGGGGAGAGGGAAAGAAAAGGGGGGAACCAAACCCGGAAAGGGAGAAAAGGGGGGAGGGGAAAATCAGAAGGGGAAGAAAAGCCCAGAGTCCGCCCCCTGCTGCGGCCTGCGCTCTACGTCACTACGTCCGGCGTTGTCGTCACCGCGTCCTGCGTTCCGCCGGTCCCCGCTTCCTGGCTTCCTGCGTGCGCCTCAGCAGCGGTGCCGGGCCCACCGCCTGCCGCAAGCATTCTTGCCGACGCGCGCGCACTCGCACTCGCTTGCTCGCCCTCTCCTCCCTCCGCATTACCTGTGTCAGGCCAAGAATCCGTAGCCACTGGGAGCCTTAGTCCTCCTGAAACTCATCAAGTCTGTCAGATAGAATACCCTGGATTTCAATAGAATACTAATAGTGATCATTCTAAAGGAATTTCAATTTACAGAGCACTTTCAAAACAGCCTTTCTCTTAGGACAGTTACCCCCGTACCAAAAGAACGTATACTCAGTATTTGTTGTACACATGGATAACGATGGTTCGACAGGTAAATGTCCATTTTACAGATGAAAAAAACTGACCTAGGAGGAACTCAGTCTGTTCTGTTAAGATTACATTCTTACCATCAGTCCCTCTCTAAGATACAGTTCTCAAAAGTCATCTTAAATTTCCAACCTCCCCTCTTCTGTCCGTTCTAGGCAGAATCAATTTAGTTATTGATTATGTGTGTGTGGATGATTTACTGACCAAACTCCCTCAAAGAAGCAATATAGTCTTACTTTTGTAGAATTCAACCATTAAATATTTACCTTGTGACAGGAACTGCGGTAGGCAAAAAAAAATCTAATTATAGTACAGTTTGAATGCAAGAATAGAAAGGTTTCAATTTGTTATGGAAACACAAGGAGCAGCAACTCATTCTTGGAGGTAAAAGAGACTGAATAAGTTACAGAGAAACTACAGATGAAATTCCAGCTATTCTTGAGAATATAAATCGTTCACTAGCGAGGTAAAGAATGGAGATTCCAGCAAAGTCATAGACGCATGAAGTTCATTTTTCCTTCAAGGATGAGCAAGTTCTGGGTTGTTGTTGGGTTTTTGTTGTTGTTGTTGTTTTGTTGTTGTTTTTGAGAAGGGGTCTTGCTCTGTCACCCAGGCTAGAGTGCAGTGGTGCGATCTCGGCTCACTGCAACCTCCGCCTCCCAGGTTCAAGTGACTCTCAGCCTCAGGATTAGCTAGGACTACAGGCATGCACCACCATGCCCAGCTAATTTTTGTATTTTTAGTAGAGATGGGGTTTCGCCATGTTGGTAAGGCTGGTCTCAAACTCCTGGCCTCAGGTGATCCACCCGCCTTGGCCTCCCAAAGTGCTGGGATTACAGGTGTGAGCCACCATGCCCAGCCCTCTCTCCTGGTCATCACTGCCTCCTGCCCCAAAATTCTCTCAACCCTCTGAAGAACAGCAACACGGGAAGAAAAATACAACTAAAAACTGAACTGAATTAATCTAACCTGCCACTTTTCACTATGATTTAAACTTTCTGTCTTGGCCAGGCGCAGTGGCTCACGCCTAGCACTTTGGGAGGCTAAAGCAGGTGGATGGCTTGAGCTCAGGAGTTCCAGACCAGGCAGTGGTAACCAGGAGGGAAGCAATAGCTAACATTTGTATTATGCATATGTAAGTATAATATAGAATGTGTAGCACTCTACGTTTATTGTTACTATCAAATCCTCATTACAATATGTACTATTATTATACCTGTTTTATAGATGAGGAAACCTGAGGCACAATAGTTAAACCAAAGTCCCTGATTTTGAACCAAAGCAGTTTCTCTTCAGAATCTGCTCCTCACCACCACACTATTAGAAACAGGTTGGAGTCCAGGTGTAATCCCAACACTTTGGGAGGCTGAAGTGGGCAGATCACAAGGTCAGGAGTTCGAGGCCAGCCTGACCAACATGGTGAAGCCCGTCTCTACTAAAAATACAAAACTTAGCCGGGCATGTTGGCACACACCTGTAATCCCAGCTACTCAGGAGGCTGAGGCAGGAGAACTGTTTGAACCTGGGAGTCAGAGGTTGCAGTGAGCCGAGATTGTGCCACTGTACTTCAGCCTGGGTGACAGAGTGAGACTCCATCTCAATCAATCAATAAATAAATCTCAAAACTTATTTTCTTAGACAGAAAAAAAAACCCAAAGGATGAGCTCATCTAAATCTCAAGCCCTTTCCCCACATTAAGAGTTCCCTCTGAGGACATTGAAAACATGCCTAGGACACTGTGCCTCCCTTCCCTTAACCTTCAGATTTCATGGTTTTGAGACCTCTTGAGCAAAACTCAACCAGGGCTAACAAATAAGACTGGATTGAGAACCCCAGGGAGGGAGGATGGAGGGATAGGGATGGCTTTGAGAAATGCCAGGCAAAAAATAATGCAACTCTCAATTGTTCATGCATGACAGTGAGCTAAAGTGCCCTGCCAATTACTTCTTCTTGTTTGAGAGTCTCCCTTTAACATTCTTTCCTAGGCCGGGCGCGGTGGCTCACGCCTGTAATCCCAGCACTTTGGGAGGCCGAGGCGGGTGGATCACGAGGTCAAGAGAT